GAATAAATAAAATAAATGGCAGTGGAATTGTCTGTCTGTCTCGTGGATGTGGATGTTGCAGTTGCGACTAACAAACTAAAATTCATCTGATCAGATGGCAAGTTTTTCTCTCCATTATTTTGTGTGTTGTTTAGCTCCCCAGAGACTTGCCTACCAAAGATCTACAGCTAATTGAAAGAGCTCTAAGGAAATACGAATATACAATGCAACAATTCAATTTGAAACTTAAGGGTTCCCCCCAGAAATACTTGTGTACTTTCTCTGGATTGACAATAAGTAAATAAAACGAATCTGCAACCGAATTTTCTGTTCTTATGAGAAGAGAAAGAAATAATCATTTATTACATGATGAATTTTCCCATATTATGTAAGTAGTAGTTCATGGAGTTACGAAAACCATTATAAAATCACTTAAATATTTTTATTTAACATTTAATTTAATTAATATTGCCGTAGTTATTACTAAACACATTTTGTAATCCTACTGCACTTTTACTAAGGGAGTCATAATCATTTGGAGAAGCCATAAAGTGATTTCCTTCGCCACTACTTAAGCCCAGGTCTCTTACCAAAACTGGAAAACTGGAAAACGCACGTATTTTTACCGCCTGGCTGACAACCTTAAGCCATTTGCCAAGATCCAACACCTCGAGCCATGCAAAAACATTTCCTTCCTTCTGGGGGAGAAGCGAGGCCCCCAAAGGGCAAGGGAAAAATGCTTGAGGAAAATTTAAATGAAATCGTGTTCAAGCGGAAAATGCACTCAGAGTTAAGTGGAGTTTGGCCAGAAGAAGGGGGTGGTGTGTGGTATCTAATAAAATGCACATTACTGCGAATTCGTTATGGCCAGGAGTCTTGGCTGGCTGAAATCCGCTCGCCGGGATGCGGGCCTAACAATTATTTGGTGACTTGGCTTCGAGCAGCTCCAGAGAGTGGAGCTTGGATCGGGTTTTCGGAGTGGCCTTCACCTCGCAGGGGGAGCAGTGTTGCGAAGCGACGATTGCCCCAATGTGACGACAGATGTGCTCCGTCTTGGCTCCCAAGGAATTCGCGCAATTTGCAGCAGCAACATCAACATGAGCAGCAGCAGCAGCAGCAGCAACAGCTAAGGCCACAGCAACCATCAACTGGGAGTGACTTATGCGCATGCCCAGCAACGAGTTTTGTGGCAGACGAAAATCGCTGCCTCCAAAGTAAACAAACTTTTCTTTCACTCACACCTTGCCCCCTCTTAACTCTTTCTTTACCGATACAGTCGGAATTCCACAAGTCCAACAAGCACTTGAAAAATAATAGCTAAACCAGCAAGTTTTAGTAAATTGATAAGAGATAGTAAGCTAAGACACTTTTATTAAAGTAATTTGTAATTTAAAATATTTCTAGCAGAGTATAGAAAACTCTGAAGAATATAGCATATAAATTTGTGGAATAATAATATTAGTTTGGAAATAGTAAAATTGACCATGTTGCACTCTCTTTTCTTTCTCTGTTCGCGCCTGGCTGCAAAAGCCGGTTGTTTGTTATTAGTTGGCCCCCAGACAATGTTGGCCATGTGTGCGGGGTCTTGGTATGTGTGCGCGTTTGTTGGCCTTTTGACGTCTCCCTTGCCTGTGTTCACCACTCCCCCTCCCCATCCCCCTGGTCTGCCCCCTGGCCATCGTGCCGCTCTTCATCCTGCTGGCGTTTGTTGCAAGTTCAGTGACTGCAGCAGTCTGCAATCTGGCGAGGCCTTACACCGAAGCTTGCAGCCTTCGATCACAATCAGTTTACGCTTTGCTTACAAAATTGAATGACCAGCCATTGATCATCATCATCGTCATCGTCATCATTGAGGAGGGGGATAACCACTCCCCAGTTGGCAGCTGCTTTGCATTGACCAACACTGTCAAAGGTCTTTGAGCCAAGTTAACCAAATGGTCAATTTCCGCTTGCGCCCATCCATAAAATCAACAATCACGAGTTATTTATAGACTCGCCCAACTAAAGAGCTGGGGAGACCTTTGCAGCTTATCAGTCCGTAGTCTTTGTGGAACCTGACATAGTTTACTCACTCAATCACTCTGTCCGGTGTGATTAGTTAGTGCACCACCTCTGGATGTTAACTGGTTGTGGGGTCTTAACCGGCTTAGGGCACACTATAATGACGGCCTTTTGTCGACGATACCAACACAATGCATTGCTTTGTCATTTCTTGGTTTGCAATCATGGCAAAAATACTTTATCTGAAGTGCTAGATTAGAAATCAAGTTTCTGGGGGTTCCAGTAAATGGGGAATATATTTAGGTGGCCCACAGTTTTCACTGAATGTAATCCAGCTGAAATTTGTGTTGGTTTTAAATGAGAATTGAAAGTCACAGGTACATGTATTTCATTCTGTTTAACTTGGAAATTACTTGCATTACAGAGTATTGTGATTAAAGGATTTGCAATTTCCTTCAAAATAAAGAATAAATATTTATGAAACCGAATGACTGCGTGCAAATAAAACCCGAAACCATTAGTTTTTAATCTAAAAACAGTTTGAAAGTTTGCTCTTTCTATTTTTCAGCAGTTAACAGGTGCATCCTTATTTTTATTTTGCTAGATAAGTGGGTCATAAAATTAGAAGTTAGAAGTTAGTAGTTAGTTAGTAGTAGTTGGTTCGTAGTTAGTTTGTTCACCATAAAATGCTGGCATATACTGGCATGTTTTCGTCATTAGCTTCGTGAGCTCGTAAATAAAGAAAGGCCAAGAACCATGTTATCGACAAATACGACTCTGAAAGCCATCTATATTGTAGTGGTAAAATGCAATTGTAAAGCTGTAAATTATAGTATGGAAAGCTAAGCCAGACAAGAGAAAACATTTGTCCATCAAGCCAAAAGGCAAAAGCAAAAGCAAAAGCAAAAGCAAAAGCAATAGCAATAGCAAAAGCCAAATGCACTTGACATTCTGTGCTTCTTTGTTCCAAGCAGCTTTCGTCTCGATGAGCTTGCAATGTCATACATTTGTTTTGACTTAATGGCGCGGCTGTTCTTCTTGCTATTTGTGTAGTTTTATTTTTGTTATTCTTCTTAGCAACAAACAAAAATACAAAAATAATAACAAAGCAATGTCAGGAACAACTTTCAACTAGTCATCAGTGGGCTTGTCTGTTGCTATTTGCTTTCGTCTTATTTAGACACAATTAGTAATTTTGTCACGAAGTTTTGCCCCGACTCTTGTAATTGTTTGCATTTTTGTAAAGCGTTTTCTAATTTGTATGCCTACCTGGGCATTCGGTTCTTTGATTAACTTTTCATACTGACATTCAGGGGGGTTTGGTGGGGGGAATGATGAATATAGACAGACAGACATCGACGTACACAATCGGTTCATTCTACGGCCATTCTTTTGGTGAAAATGTCTCTTTGACTTTATGGATTTTTGATGAACGAAGAAAGTCTCTCTTTAGACGCCTGACCATATTGCCCAGGTTCCCCCATCCCCATCCTCCTTCTCCAGGTACGTGCCATTGAATTGGGTCTTAACTGGGTTATTTGGTTATAGAAAGTTGGTTTTTCATTCTGTCAATTAAGTTTGTGAAAATACTTCAAAGAGGGGGAAAGTGTTCTGTCAAGCGGATTGTTGCATAATCCTAAAATATTAAATATTAAGAGGGTTATTGAAAATAGTTATTATTGTTAATATTACAAGTTCTACTTAGACTTACTTTAATTCTATGATGTGCATTATTTAAATAGAGTGTTTTGTCATCTTTCTCTTTAATTGCATTTATTTCGACATGGCTCGTTGGCTTTTTATGATCAATTAGGTAAATGATCCCAGCCCTTTGAGCTGACATCATCACTCACCCAGCTTTTGATCTTCAAATGAATATAATATCTATATATCAGATCTGTGAGTTGATTGCTGTGCGGTCTGAAATTTCCTCAATCACTTTGCGTGAGTTAGAAATGTTTCGGTGCGTTTTAATTGCATATTTATTAGCAACCGGCAATTGAAATAAATTGCACGGACACACGAATCTTTGGTCCGCGAATTCGTTTAATTCTGCTTTTCACATTGGCACTGCGCTTCCAGATACAAGATACAAGATACATCTTCGCTTTGGCGCCATGCGGGCAATAAAAATGTTTATTTTAGCACACCGAAATGACGACGACCAAGTTTTGTTCATCTTAATTGAAATGGCCTGGGAAGAGTTGGACCGAGGTGGATCGGTGTGGGTTTGGGGATGGGGATGGGAGAACGGCCCCAATAAAGCGACAGAAACCGAAACCGCGAAGAAACAAATAATTCTTTGCAGATTTGTCGAGAATTTTTTGGCTTTAGCCCGTGGCAATTTGATGAATAGTTCCTCTTCTATTCTCCCCCGTCTTGCTGAGGGGTCCTCATCAATTTTAATTGTTTGAGAACGAACCCATTCAACGGCAAGGCTTTCAATCATTATTGATTCGCCTGTAGATACTTATCTCGCCGACTCTATTCGACCCTGCTGCCTGCATAATTTTCTGTAATTTGTTTGTCGTTTGCCGAGCTGTCAAATGAACAAAAAACCAGCCACAGAAATAGCGAATTTAGTGACTATTTTTATGCTGCTTCGCCCTGCCCGGCTGATCCTAAGGAATTTTCAGTTCTTGGCTGTGTAAAAATTTAAATATCGCCTGCATATCTGCACCGAGGGTGCAACGCATTTTTGGCCCAACAAATTATGCAGTCTGTAATTAATTTACAAGAAAATATTTACAAATATACAAAGAGTAAATATTATTTATTGCTGGGGAATTAATTTGGTTACTATCAGTTTAATAGTTTGCTCAACAAAGTCGTCTATTTAAAGTCCTAAATTTCGATGGAAATTACTTTAGTTTGTATACAATACATACTACAATCTAATAGTTTTTTACTTCTCTTAAAGGATATCCAAACAATTTCATTATCATATATATTATTTGTATATCTCTTTATGAGTTTGTACTCTTTTATCTCATAAATTCCTTGATTATCTTATCTTGCAGGCTTGAATGTGGCCATAAAAAATAGAGGCGGCAAGGCTGAACTGCTTTTTATGGTAAGTCAATATTAGTCTAAAAAAGTGCATTTTAAGACGATTGAAATTTTGTTAAAAAAAAATAAATGTTACTGACTTAACTGACTTGCTGGAATTTCACGTATTTTTTTACCACACCCTTAAACTCTGTTGCGTTGAATTATCCATTATTAATTGGTCATTGCTTTCGGATAATTTATGGATAAAGAAAGCGGAGAGGAGCGTCAATGATTATAACGTAAGCCTTTCAATTATTAGCGGGATTTATTAACTGATTATGAGCTTTAACAGTAGCTGATTTATGGGTGAATGTATCGATATGAATTTCTTTTGCTCAAAATTCAAAATCTGCTCTTGATAAAAACTAAATGAAAATCAGAGATAACCCACATTGGCTATAAATCAGGTGTCAGACTTTTATGCGCTCCAGTTGTAAGCCAAATATAAAGTTTTTCTTTCTTTTAATGGCCTAGCGCCAGTTCAAAGTGCACGGGATCTCTGCATTCTCGACAATTTATGGCGAATGAAAGGAATATTTTATAGAGCGTACCATTTAAATTAGTGAAATGGAAAGAAAAGAATGCCAAACTATACGTATACACTGCCCCAAAACAGTAAAATGGGGAAAAAGCTTTTATATCGATTTTTTAATGTTTGCCAGACAAGCGCAAACGAAAACAAAGTACACAAAAATGGAGCAGGCCAAAATAAAAAAGCATAAAAACCAAAACCGAAAACCGAAAAGAAGCCAAATAGATAAAAGACGAAAGACACAAGAGATGAGAGGTGAGAGATAGAGAGAGAAAGGAGTATGAAAATGCAATGAAAATTGAGTTATAGAAAGAGGAAGACGGCGACGAAAACAGCGCTAAAAATGCGCCCCACAAAAATAGAGCAAGGCATGTGGATAGAAATGAAAGAAATTAGATGAAAATAGGTTCTATATAAATATATATAGGCGTATATATATATTCTATATGTATATATATACATAAATATAGGCTCATGCATATCCAAGATATTTGTAGAGAGCTCCCTGTCTTAGCCAGACAGGAATTCTTCCCGTTTCTTTGGCTTTTTTCGTGTGGAAACGCAGTGAAAACGAAGCTGAAAATTGGGAAATGCGCATTTTTATTCTGTTTTTGTATTTTTCATTTGGCGCTAAAGACGACATTTTGGGACAACTTAATTTATAATGGCTTCTATGTTTTTGTTTTGTTTTTATTTTCCTTTGGGCATTGGAATTTAACATGAGAAAAACTCCCACTTTACAGGAAGGAATTTCGGGTAATAAGTGAGCTTTGACTAAGCGCTAAATTTCCAATCCATTTTCAATTTAAATGAGTTTAATTTATGCATATGAAGTTAAATATCATATTTCGAATACTTACATAATATAAGAACCTTTTTGGATACACATTTCATTTTCCCTTCGGTTTATCGCCTCTGTTCAGGGAAACATCTCTTTTATATCCATTCCCCAGATACTTGTCTTTGTCAAATCGTAAAACGCTCAGCAGGTCGATAATTTCGTGGGCTCCCCCTTGACTTAACCCCAATCCAATCCCTTCGACATGGACTTTCTATGGATTTACGATCGGAGCATTTAAATTGTCCACAAATTATTCATAAAAGAAATGACATATTCACAGGTTTGCTTTTAGATTACGATGCGATGAATATTATGATATGCATAATAATAATTTGTTATGTCTTCGGAAGACACACGTGTTTCGAAAGTCAACTTCAAGTCAAATGTGAAGAAAACTTTGATGGACATGGGACAGGTTGGAGAGGCGAACAATCATCATTTTGGGAACATTTTTGGCCTTTGAATAGGCGCTCATCAGAGAGAATCATTTTCTGATTCTTTCACACAACTCGTTTCAGTTTCAGTATTAAAAAGAAGTTGATTCTTTTCAGTTTTGTTTGTTTCTTTTTATTTTCAATGTTTAGCAGTAGCTTTTGTCTCGCATTTCTCAGTCCGAAGAGCCTGGAGCGTTTGGTTTTTGTTGGATCACCGACAAAAAAACCAATTTCCAAAGCAAACGAGACTGAAAACAAAACATGGACCTTTTCCCAGAATTTGTAGTAGTTTATGGTCAGCCCTTTCCCTTGTGTTAGTTGGGTGAAACAAGGAGCGGAAGAGGCCATTCTAATCTCTGGAACCGAGCCCAAAAACATGTACAGGAAGCCAGAGAAGAAAAAAACTGAAAGCGGAATTGGTCAAATGAGTTCATTAGCCACCCAAAAAGGGGGTTTAAAATGTGTTAAATTAGTGTTTAAGTTGAACAGACATATACATACGTTTTACTAAAAAAAATATTTCTTTATTTAATATTCTGATCAGGCAAAGGGATTTATTACTTGGACAAAAAGAATATAGTTATTTGTACATAGTATTATAGATACTTTTGTAAAATTCTCCAACTCTTCGTTGCTTTCATTACTTCTAGACCTTTTTAGTGCAAATTTTCATTTAATCTGCAGTAACCTTTTTGCAACCTTTTTATAATCTTGGCGCTCATCGTGCTCTGCAGGTTCGCAGGTTTACATTGTAATAAAAGTGTTTTTATGCTTAGACGGTAGAAGTCCTAATTAAAATATAAAATATGCATGCCCATGAAATATAATATTTCACGGTCAGGTCTCCGGGGGCAAAGGAATAGAGATGAGATTATGTGGCAGAACAACAGCTCCAGGACTAATTGTCTGGGGTTTCGGGAGCAAGGAGGAAGGAGGGGGCTTGGAGGTTTGGAGGTTTGTGGCCCATTGGCGATGATGACGACCACAAAACGCGCTGATGACTCTGCTACTCTTTGGATCTCGGATCTCGGATCTCGGGCCACTTCAGGTGGCACTTTACCCTACACTTCGGGGCAAACAGTAGCAAAATTGTTCAACTTCATTTGTTGCTTACTTCTGTTTACGTTTTTCGTTTTCATCTTTTTCGTTATTACTATTACTTCGTCTGTGCCTGTATGTATATTTGTAAACATGAAGTTTTCTCGACTCAAATTCCCACGCATATTTCTTGGCTCTGGCTTAGTTGTAATAAAAATAATAATAATAATTTTGTGGTTGTGGATGAGTCGCACTCCTCGCCAGCCGAGCATCAAGTGGCAGCGAGTTCGCCGGGGTTAGGGGATTATATAAGTCGAATGCATTTTACCCGGAGATGGAATTGATAAATTGGAGTTTCGGGAAATGGAAAAACCAGCGGTGGTGGGTGGCACTTTCCCGGAGGATCCATCCCGATAGCTACGAAAGTTCTCTCCACTTAACCACCTACTTTTTCTGTGGCATTAAACTGTTTTGACATTGGGTCCATTCCCCCACTTAAATTAAGGCCCTGCCAATTTGGGTCATTTAAAACCGCAATGGCGCTTATTACCCACTTTATATACATTCAACTTTGTTGATTTCCTGTTTTTTGGGGCTTTTGGCCAAACGAAATTTATATGCAAGTTGACAAGACGCAGGGTTTCCTCTGTTTTCTCACTCTCGGATGCAGATTTCATTGTCTTTTTGTGTGTGGCTTTTGTGGTTTAAGAAACATTTATCTTGGATGGTGTTGGCAGATGGTTAAATTGCATAAAAGTCGGAGTGGGTTTCTGGTTTTTGCTGAATTTGTTTTCACACATTATATCTTGGGAGATTGCAACAATTATGAGAAAGGGTCCAGCAAAAAGCAAAAAAAAATTTGCAAAGCTTTGGAGCTCTGACCTCTGAGATTGTCTTAAAAGTGAGTCATCTTAACTATCACTATCAATGATTTACGAATAAATTTATGATGCTTAAGCTAACGTTAGTCAACTAAGGTAAATTGTAAAAGTTTGAAATGCTTTCTTTTTGATAAATTTCTTTATCGAATATAGCAAAAATCTAGAGCAAGCGAATGAATATGGCAATGGAAATGCCGAAATCGCATGAATGATTTGCGCTGAATATTCGCATGAATGCGCATACGAAAGTCGGAGCCAAACGTGCACGATTCTATATATCGGGGCTGGGATCCGATACAGATACAGAAACTACACTACAAATATGAGAGTAAAGATTATCATGTTAATTTTTCAGATGTCTTTTCTTTGTTTGCTCTTGGCTGTGCCCTGATATTTGCATAATTTTCGGCCACAACTCGTGTCTTTTGTTTGGCTCTTGCCATATGCTTTCTGGCACTTTTTGGCTCGTTGGCGTTTCAATTAAATTATAAAAATAACAATTTGCTAATTTTATATCACATTGTTGTATCTACATATATCCGTATCTGATGTTGCTGCTTCTGCTGCTAATGACGATGATGAAGATGACAATGACGGGGTTTCTTTTGCGGTTGACGGGGCGACGACTGTGGGCGTTTTACTTTGGCTTGAAGTCGCTCTTTCTGCTGCTCTCTGGTTTTCTAAAGAATTTCTCAAAAGATGATATCATATGCTGCATAGTTGCAGGGATTCCATTCCCCTCTAACCCAATTATGTCCGTCCATCAAAGTGATGCTGGGTCTGCTCTTCCCTTTGGCGCATCTTCCGCATGCAAAGATCTTAACTTGGCTATAATTTCAGCTGCCTGGGCGGATGAGTCACGAGTCACGGATCACGGATCACCATCATTGGAGACCAGACGAAACCAGTCCAGTCTCCAGTTTATTCTTTTTTTGTATTTTTTTAAGGGTGTGCTGATTAAAATTTACGCACAAGGTCATTCCGTCTCTGCGCCTTAAACCCTTTTAGACATGAAAATTAATGCATGGCATAAATATTGCCCATCGAAAAGAAGGTGAGAGGGAGAGAGGATCCTCAAGGCGAATTTAGCTTAATCAACAACCGGTTGATATTGCAGAGAGAGAAAATATGATATATATAATATTATTACCTATGAATTACCCTTGGAACTATTTTAAAATACCGTGGAGTATGCCAGTTAAAATAATGGATGAAATAGTCTACACTTTTCCTTACTCCTAACCGAATTCTGATAAAA